TTTATTTTAAAATGTCGACCCGACCAAGAAAAAGTATGATTTGGCTATTTTCATAACTGAATAATGGTATCAACATAAAGATTTCTTCTGAAAAACTGCGTTTCGCTTTTCTTGAAGGGCTTTTAAAAGTCTTCGATACGCAAATAAATTCATCCCGCATTGCAAAAACGTTGGCGAAAATTCCCCTAAAACACACCTTGGCATATAAATTATACCCCTTTCTCATTTATTTCCTAAAGAAAACATCATATCCCGTCATTGCCTGTCATTTATGATAATAAAACGTATTTCTAAAGTGTCTAATTTTGACATTATTAGGGACGAAACATCAATGTTTTTTTTCTGTATGTGGACAGCACCATGTTATGTGACGTCACCGGCATCATTGGAGTTCACAAATACAGAACTAACGCATTACAGAACCTTTGTGTGTGTGCGCGCTATGCATGTGGAACTGCCGTGGTGGCCAGATTCACAGAATTTTCCTTAATAACTCCTATGAACATCTATGGAAATTAACAGCATGCAAGGTTTGGACCCATTCATGGATTAACAAATTGCAAACCAAGTACCAATTAGAAGCATGGGGGAGGTGCCAATTCACAGAAATTTTCAAAAGTGTGTCACTTGACACGCAAGAAGGTATGCGAGAAGGTTGTCATTCATTTGTGGCTTCCCAAATTGTAACAACGCAGTGGGGGATTTACAAAAATTTCCAAAACTGTGTCACATGACAAATCTTTGGAAATGATCTTCTTTTGTTTTCTTCAAATTGAGAGCATGGCAGAAAGTTGTCAACCATTCGAGGATTCCCCAATTGCAAACTAAGTACCGGTACCAATTGGAACGCATTCGGGAGGTGGCAGATTCACAGAAATTTCCAAAAATGTGTCATTTGACACATCTTTGGAAAGGATCTTATTTTGTTTTCTGCAAATTGACAGCATGCCAGAAGGTTGTCAACCATTCGTGAATTAAGTACAAATTGGAACACATAGGGGAGTAGGAGGATTCACAGAAATTTCCAAAAATGTGTCACTTGACACACGTTTGGAAACTGATAGCATGCGACAAGGTTGTCACTCATTTGTAAATCCCCCGAATGCAAACCGAGTACAAATTAGAGCACATGGGGGGATTTAAAGAAATTTACAAAAATGTGTCGCTCGACACATTTGGGGGCGGGGGGAATTAGAACACATGGGGGAGGGGGCAGATAAACAGAAATTTCCACAAATGTGCCTCTTGACACGTTTGGAAATTGACATGCAAGGTTGTCACTCATTCTCGGATCCCCCAATTGCAAACCAATTACAAATTAGAATGCATGGGGGAAGGGCGGATTTACAGAAATTTCCAAAGATGTGTCACTTGACAAGCGTTTGGAAATTGGCAGCATGCGAGAAGGTTGTCACCCATTTGTGCATTCCCTAATAGGTCTTGTAAAATGACGTCATTTCCTACAGACCAGCCGCGTGCATCAACATACTGAGCATCCAATTGCATAACGGGCATCGGCCGCGTCGACATTCGAAAAACATTTCAAGCAATAAGCGCACATGTTTGGAACATTTTCAACACTGCGCAATGCATGATATATTGCGTAAAATACGCAGTTGCAGCTCTCCTACAGATTTGGACGTCAGTGAGCAAGCCCTTTTGCAAACCAAGTACAAATAGCAATGCAAGAGTGATTGGTGCGGGAAACAGTAAGCTTTAGCGCTCCGGCGAACGAAGACTACGTGACGGCTGATATTTCGAGATAATGTCCGTTATATAGTCCGGTGAAGTTCCTTGTAGTGACTTGAAAGCGATGTGGGGGTCAAAAGTGACACCTAGGTTGCGACACTTGCTGGAAGGGTGGATGTGGCAATCTCCAATCCTAATGCTGGTGATATTGAACTTGGCGAGTTGTTGTTTTGAGCCACACAGGATAAATTCAGACTTGTTGTCATTCAATTTGAGACTGTCTGTCATCATCCATGTCTTGATCTCATCAATGCAAGCCTGAAGATTCTCCGGGATAACATCCATCTGTCGTAGGATGTGGTCGCGGACAGATGAACAAGTAATGTTTCTACACTATGGTTCTGATGATTTGCAGATTGGCGACTATCCAATAGATCATTATTCCGTAAATGCATCGACAGCCTGGAGATAGCAACACACTCAAGTAACTTTGAGATGTACGGCAAGTTGGAAACTGGGCGGTAGTATTGGAGTTCTTTAACAATGCTGGGCACACGTGGGCAACTTTGAAAACAGAAGGAACAACACTGAATTGCAGGCTGCGGTTGATAATCGTGGTGATGGCAGGAACGATGGATTCAGAACATTGCTTAAGGAGCCAGGTTGGCCATAGGGTTCAATTCACATGATTTGGCTGGGGATTTGAAGATGACAGTGCAAACCTCATCTTGAGAGGCGGAACAGAGACTGGTCATGCAGTGTCTCATCTTGAGAGGCAGAACGGAGACTGGTCAGTGTAGTTTGTGTTGGCGGGGTGGGGGTAGAAGTATCTGTATCTGGCACAAGGGGAGGTAGTGCATCACGAATCGAAGAAATCTTGGACGTGAAAAAAAAGTCTGAAATGGTCAGCCAGTGACTTGTCGGAATCGTACTTGTGGTAAAGAAGATTCCTTATTCCTATGGAGAAGCTTGTTGGCGACACAAAACAGTTGTTTTTGATCACCGGAACACTTGGAGACTATTTCTGAGTAATGGGTTCTTTTGGCCTTACGGATCAGCGAGATCACATGCTGGCATTGTTGGTGATGTAGTTGGCGGTCAATCTCGAGTGAGGATGCATGCCACCTGTGCTCAAGCTGTCTTCGTCTGTGCTTAGCTTGGAACACCTCATCAGTGTACCAACCGGTGTCGGGCCGAAAAGAAATGACGGAACTCGTACTCAGGCAGCAAAGTACTTGTACTCGAAACGGCGTGGAGCCTGGGGCCCGCTAAAGGGCCCCTAAAATTTTGGATTTTAGATGCTCTGTGGTGCAATCTAAGCCTTTTTGGGCCATCATTTGAGCCAAAATATTTTGCCAATTTTGTTATTTCTTTTTTCACTTTTGTTGCATTTTGTTTCAGTTCATCACCATCATCATTGATTTGTCACTTATTTGTAATTATAAATACTCCATGGTGATTAATAATAACCATTGTAAAAGCATGAAGAAATAAATAAAACAAGATTATTCTACACAAATATTTGTTTTGCTTCATCCACAACTGAATGGAACATACCATCTTTGGAAGCACCAGACTAATCAGTCTCAATGATGATGTGCTTCGGGTGTTTCACATGGGATACGAGCAATTTCTTTCCACTCGACGCGTAGTTGATAGTGTCGTTGCAAACATTGCAAAAAACCTTGCCAGCGGTTGCTATTTTATCGAAACACTCTTGAAATTCATGCTGATGCCCGTCAATAATAACGTAGTCCCGAAACCATTCCCACCGGAACTTATTTTTCACTTCTTTATCAAGCACTTGCATAAGTAGTCTGTACACCCGACCAGCGCAACACGTGCATCTTGGGTACCGACACAGGAACTAGACCTAAATAATCACAACCTCGGACCCGAGCGAAAAATCACATGATCACGCTAACGGCAAAGCATGGTCTTCAACCTTGTTCTCGCAATGGTTATTCAATATGTGCGTGCGTATCGATCAACGAAGTAATGTCTGTTAGTAAATTCGGATAATTCGGCAAGCAAAACTCATTATGAATAATTAATTAGCACATTCTAATAATAATAATAATAATAAACCATTCTTATAAAGCGCATTTTACACGGGGTCCCAATGCGCTGAACAATTAACAGAGGAAAACGCTAACATTATATTTCATTTGCAGTGAACAGATGGGTTTTAAGATTAGCTTTGAAAACGTCCAGGGTTGGGGCTTCCTTGATGTGATTGGGTAGTTTGTTCCAGAGGGTTGGGGCTGCAGATGAAAACGCTCGCTGACCGTATGACCTTGTCGATGTTGAGGAGCAGGCGAGCAGGGATTGTGAGCTTGATCGAAGATTTCTACGGGGTTCATATTTATGGATTAATTGCTGGAGGTAAGTAGGGGTGAGACGATGGAGACATTGGTATGTTAGGAGAAGGGTTTTGTAGATTATCCTCCTCTTGACTGGGAGCCAGTGCAGATTACGGAGAATAGGTGATATGGGTTGATGGGGCTTCGAGAGGGTGATTAGTCTTGCAGCTGAGTTTTGGATGCGTTGGAGTTTGGCGATTTGTGAGTCTGGTAGCCCTTGAAGTAAACTGTTGCAAAAATCTAGGCGACAAGTAATAAATGCATGAGCAAGCTTTTCTGTGGTGTGCGGGTTGAGGAATTTGCGGATCTGTCCGATTTTATGAAGGGCAAATGATGCAGACCGACAGATGCTATTGATGTGCGTGTCCATTTGTAGATTAGGTTGCATTGTAACACCTAGGTTTCGTACCTTAGAAACGGGCTGGAGGGAAGAGTTGCCGATATGAACAGGGGGGAGTTGAGTATGGCTTCTATGGCAGGATGTTATATGAAGGACCTCCGTTTTGTCTGCATTTAATTTCAGTTTATTTGCTGTGGACCATGATTTGATGTCGTTAAGGCAGAGTTCTAACTGGGGAATGGCTGTAGGTCGATCCCGCTCTTTCAAAATGATGTAAACTTGAGTGTCGTCAGCATAGATCATTTGTCCGACACCGTGGGCCTCAATTATGTCCTCAAGGGGGGATGTGTACATTATGAAACACAAGGGTCCCAGCACAGATCCTTGAAGGACACCGACTTCAGGGACATAAGCGTCAGATAGGTCATCATTTATTGAAATGTGCTGAGTACGGTGTTTGAAGTAAGATTCGAACCAATTGATAGCATGGCCGGATATGCCATACCTATGACATGACGATGAAGCATGATCTCGTGGTTGATGGTGTCAAAGGCTGCGGAGTAGTCCAGTAGGACAAGAACCGCCTCTTGGCCCTTGTCAGCAGCTAGTTACAAGTCGTTGTTCACTCGGAGAAGAGCCGTCTCCACACTATGACGACGCTTGTATGCAGACTGCATGTTGCTGTGAAGACTGTTCTTGAGAAGATAATCTTGTTCAGTTATCTTAGCGAGAAATTTCAAATTGGCAATAGGTCTGTAGTTTTTTAGTGGTTCCGGATCCATGTTGGGTTTCTTGAGCAGGGGGGTGACGTGGGCAGATTTGAAAGCATCAGGAAAATGGCCGTTCTCAAGGGAGAGATTGATGATTGTTGTGATGATGGGAGTGAGTTCATTTAGACACTTCTTCAGTAACGATGTGGGAATTGGATCAAGTCTGCATGTTGTTGAAGGTGACCCGGTGATCATCTTTCTGACAGAACTATCAGAAAGGATGTCAAATCCAGTGAAAGATGTCTCGCACGAGTCGGCCACTGGTACTGTTGTCTCAACTGTTGAAGCGTTATCAAGTTCGGCAATGATGGTCTGGGTCTTATTGGAAAAGAATTGTGAGAAACGATCCACTAGTGACTCTGGTTCATTCTCTGGCGGAAGGGTTCTTGAAGATTTCGGGGTGCATAATTTGTCGACTTTGCGAAACAGTTGTTGAGAATCGCAGTCGGCAAGTTGTGTCCTGTGATATTCGGTTTTGGCTTGAGTTATCATACGATTGTACCGGTAGATCTGTTCATTCAGAAGTTGTTTGTGAACTGCCAGTTTAGAGGATTTCCACTTGCGTTCACGTTTACGTAGTTCTTGTTTTGCTTTGTGGATGTGTTCATTGTACCACGGCGCGTGTGGGCGACATGATATGTTACGAGAGATGAGGGGGGCGTGTTGATTTAGGAGATCTTTCAAAGTACTCTCGTACTGATGAACCAACTGGTTCAAATCAGAGGCTGGGGCAGTATACAGTGGTGATGCCAGGATATCCTTGCGGAAGGCATCTATGTCAATCTTACGAATTTCTCGAAGTTTGATGTCTCTTTTGACCGGATCGGGCCGACTGACGTTCAGTAAACATTTGACAGCGGCATGATCGGAGGGCAGGTAATTAGTGGTGACAACACGTGAAACTGTGTCGTCTGCTGAACTTGACAAGATGAGGTCCAGTGTGTGGCCCTCGCGGTGAGTGGGGCCAGTCACATGCTGCTCGAGATTAGCAGAGTCAATGAGATCACAGAAGATTGCCGCTTCACGATTAGATGGATCATCGACGTGGAAGTTTAAAGTCACCAGCAATCACGATGTGTCCTGGCTCAGACACAACAGATTCCAGGAGTGTGGAGAATTCACGAAAAAATATAGGGGAAGTCATGCGTCCATCGATTAGTCTCTGAGGTCTATAGATTATGATGAGCCGAAGGGGGGTCTGGGATCGAGCGTTAATTGATAAATCAATATGTTCAAATGAATCAAATGTTCTACCTTCGTTCATATGGGCATTGAAGCTGCTTCGAAGATACACACAGACGCCACCACCATTTCTGTTTTTCCGAGGTATGTGGTGAATTTGGTAGTCAGGAAGTGTTGCAATAAGATCTGCAATAGCACGATGATCCCGATGATCACCAGTCAGCCATGTTTCAATTATGGCAATAATATCGATGTGGTTGGATATAATTAAATCACATAAGATAGGGATCTTGGGTTTTATCGATCGAGCATTCCACAGACCGAATGTAGTGGGAACAAGTTGTTTTGTGGGTGGTAAGCTTCGTGAAATTTTGGTGAGGTTTGCGGGATTTGCACCTTTTTGTCCCGCTTGAAAATCAGGGTGAATCTCGTAGGGTATGTCTTGGTGGCTCAGTACGGGGATGGGTTTCTGTTGTTTAGCCCATGATCTGCGGCCCCTTTTGGTTGGTCTTGGCACACCAATTCCAAGCTCTTTTAGTCTGGTGTGAACGTGAAGGGGCACTGTGGTTTTACCTGTAGGTTTGAGCGACAGCAACTCATCATGGCTGTAGGAGTTTGTTGTAGTGGCAACCATGACTACTGCTGACAATAGGATAAGCACAAAGGCCAACAATGCCGATCCAGCCATGCGTCAATCAATTTCTGAAGCACAATGACGAGCCAAAACACACTGCTGAATGCTATAGGCGTACGTAGTCCTTGTACAGTAGGCCTACTTGTACTCGGAGTAATGAGCAGAATCTGTTCAAAATTCCAGGTTTTTGGCGATCAGGTAACTTGGATTTCCGATCCAGGAGCTAGGAGTATCCTTACGTCTGTGTGATCCGACTGTGTGGTTTTTGAAGTTGATGTCGGTGATCAAAAGGCAAAAACCGAGACAATTTTGTCAGGATATGAGCATGTAGGTGCAACCGGAAGCGCTACCAGTTCTACCAGCGCTACCCCCCTATTTTCTCAACGGATTCACACAATTCACGTTGGTGGACTTTTGAACCCCCACAAAACGGAGAGATTACATCCCTGAGTACTCGACAGTACTCGGTACTCAGAAAAAAGTACTCGACTACAACACTGGCAGCACTGCATCGGGCTGACAGATGGTTGCCTTCAATCTCAGCGCACAAGAGATTCAAATCAATGCTGTGGAGATTGCGATGGATAACCATGTCTCACAGATACCACTGGTGCTGGAGGAACATCCAATTGTTACCAGCAGAAGGTGTGATCTACTAGTCACAAAAGATACCTGACGTCTTGGTGCGCAGAAAAACTGCTACAGCCCCAAATGCACAGGAAAGGAAGGAAAAACTCCCTTAAAATGCTCCCAAACCAGATGATGTTACATATATTCCGGCTCACTTGATCAGTTTGCGCTAAAGTTCAACTTGACATGAAGACATGACTGGAAACACCGCTAAGAAAGAGGAAATCAGTACATTGGTGGAGAGCATGATGAGGAGCCGCCAGTTAGTAGCGCTGCACTCTATAACATTACTCAGGTCAATACAACAATCAACAGCCACACAGTAGCCACAGCTGTTTGACAATGCCTGCCACTTGCAGACAATACTTTATCAGGTCAATACAACAATCAACAGCCACACAGCAGCCACAGCTGTTTGACAATGCCATCCACTTGCAGACAATACTTGATCAGGTCAATACAACACTCAACAGCCACACAGTAGCCACAGCTGTTTGACAATACCAGCCACTTGCAGACAATGCTTTATCAGTTCAATACAACAATCAACAGCCACACAGTAGCCACAGCTGTTTGACAATGCCAGCCACTTGCAGACAATACTTTATCTGGTCAATACAACAATCAACAGCCACACAGTAGCCACAGCTGTTTGACAATGCCTGCCACTTGCAGACATTACTTTATCAGGTCAATACAACAATCAACAGCCACACAGTAGCCACAGCTGTTTGACAATACCAGCCACTTGCAGACAATACTTTATTTGGTCAATACAACAATCAACAGCCACACAGTAGCCACAGCTGTTTGACAATACCAGCCACTTGCAGACAATACTTTATTTGGTCAATACAACAATCAACAGCCACACAGTAGCCACAGCTGTTTGACAATACCAGCCACTTGCAGACAATACTTTATTTGGTCAATACAACAATCAACAGCCACACAGTAGCCACACATATGGAAACGTTGTCTCATCCGCTCAATCTGGCCTGCGTACATAGGTCAAATGAGCATTTTTTCATGAAAAAGTGATTTTATAAAAAAAGTGTGCTTATTTCCAGCATTGGGCCGCTCGGGAGTCACTTAAATAACTATTCATCAAATCCAAAACCTACAAATAATACCAGTAAGTTCCTCAGTTTCGTCCAAAAAAAACATAGTAAACCTGCATAATGTCGTCGTTTATGCGTGGGAGAGCTAGCAAAACAGCGAGTTTCCTTGCACATTACTCGCTTTCGTGAGCCCTCACTCGTTTCTTTGTGATCAGGCTGCTTTGGGCCTAGCGGCTTATGAATATGCAGTATATTAGCTTTCTGGTGATATAAAACATGTTTTGATTGGTTGAATAATTTTGTCGGAACGAAGCTTTGGAGCGGATTGACTATTCACATCTAGCGTCTGAAATGACCTTTCATCTACATATCCCGGATGACACAAGCACGCAAAACCGCATTTGTGACGTCATCAATTATTACTCATCGTCTTTCATCGTCAAATGTTACAATTCTACGACGTTTGGTATAGATTTTATTTATTAGTAATATGTAGGACTATTTTTGTAATCTATCAGTCAAGTTTTAGGTTTAATTTAAAGTATTGTTTTGAAATGAAAGCCTTTTTTCTGTCGTCTTGACTGGATCGTACCATTAAAGTTGTAGGGGTTATGTATTATTCCGACAGGCCGTGCCAAATTTAATTTAGCCTTCGCCGGACGTCAGTGATCTCGCGTTGATTTCAAGAATATCCTGTCTTCTGTTTCAGTAAATGTCATTACAAACATTATCAGAAATGAGGTAAGTGTATTTTTTCTATGTATTGTTTAGAAAACCTGCTTAAAACTGAGAGATTTAACCGAGATTTGTCGTGAATATCGTCGGGCGTAAGTGATGAATATGTGATACAATCATGCCAATGGCATCGAGAGTCCATCCATTTCCAACACACGGATTTTCTCGTCGTGCAAAGTAGAATTATTTCTCTACAAGTTGTTGTATTTACATTGACTATGCCAGTCCCCTCATATTGTTCCATTGTTTATTTACCCATTCCCACAATGGAAGTACCCTGCAGTGGAGGTCAGCGGCGCGTGACCCTGTGCACACATAGCTCCCGTGGAGGTCACACAGCGGTCATGTGGGCAACTTCTTTTATGAGACAAATCCGGGAAAACGTTTCCATATGCTGTTTGACAATGCCTGCCACTTACAGACAATACTTTATCAGGTCAATACAACAATCAACAGCCACACAGTAGTCACAGCTGTTTGACAATGCCTGCCACTTACAGACAATACTTTATCAGGTCAATACAACAATCAACAGCCACACAGTAGCCACAGCTGTTTGACAATGCCTGCCACTTACAGACAATACTTTATCACGTCAATACAACAATCAACAGCCACACAGTAGCCACAGCTGTTTGACAATGCCTGCCACTTACAGACAATACTTTATCAGGTCAATACAACAATCAACAGCCACACAGTAGCCACAGCTGTTTGACAATGCCTGCCACTTACAGACAATACTTTATCAGGTCAATACAACAATCAACAGCCACACAGTAGCCACAGCTGTTTGACAATGCCTGCCACTTACAGACAATACTTTATCAAGTCAATACAACAATCAACAGCCACACAGTAGCCACAGCTGTTTGACAATGCCTGCCACTTACAGACAATACTTTATCAAGTCAATACAACAATCAACAGCCACACAGTAGCCACAGCTGTTTGACAATGCCTGCCACTTACAGACATACTGTATCAGGTCAATACAACAATCAACAGCCACACAGTAGTCACAGCTGTTTGACAATGCCTGCCACTTGCAGACAATACTTTATCAGGTCAATACAACAATCAACAGCCACACAGTAGCCACAGCTGTTTGACAATACCAGCCACTTGCAGACAATACCTTATCAAGTCAATACAACAATCAACAGCCACACAGTAGCCACAGCTGTTTCACAATGACTACCACTTGCAGACAATACTTTATCAAGTAAATACAACAATCAACAGCCACACAGTAGCCACAGCTGTTTGACAATACCAGCCACTTGCAGACAATACTTTATCAGGTCAATACAACAATTAACAGCCACACAGTAGCCACAGCTGTTTGACAATACCAGCCACTTGCAGACAAAACTTTATCGGGTCAATACAACAATCAACAGCCACACAGTAGCAACAGCTGTTTCACAAAGCCAGCCAATTGCAGCTAATACTTTATCAGGTCAATACAACAATCAACAGCCACACAGTAGCCACAGCTGTTTGACAATGCCTGCCACTTGCAGACAATACTTTATCAGGTCAATACAACAATCAACAGCCACACAGTAGCCACAGCTGTTTGACAATGCCTGCCAACTGCAGACAATACCTTATCAAGTCAATACAACAATCAACAGCCACACAGTAGCCACAGCTGTTTGACAATACCAGCCACTTGCAGACAATACCTTTTCAAGTCAATACAACAATTAACAGCCACACAGTACTCTAGCCACATGTGTTTGACACTACCAGCCACTTGCAGACAATACTTTATCAAGTCAATACAACAATTGACAGCCACACAGTAGCCACAGCTGTTTGACAATACCAGCCACTTGCAGACAATACCTTATCCAGTCAATACAACAATTAACAGCCACACAGTACTCTAGCCACATGTGTTTGACACTACCAGCCACTTGCAGACAATACATTATCAGGTCAATACAATAATCAACAGGAACACAGTAGCCACAGCTGTTTGACAATGCCTGCCACTTACAGACGATGCTTTATCAGGTCAATACAACAATCAACAGCCACACAGTAGCCACAGCTGTTTGACAATACCAGCCACTTGCAGACAATACTTTATCAGGTCAATACAACAATCAACAGCCACACAGTAGCCACAGCTGTTTGACAATACCAGCCACTTGCAGACAATACTTTATCAAGTCAATACAACAATCAACAGCCACACAGTACCCACAGCTGTTTGATAATACCAGCCACTTACCAACTTGGATCTGAACAAAAATGTCATTGTCGCAAGAGGTCGCAATTTTGTTTCTTTATATTTAATATTCATTAAAAACATTTTGTCAGTGACGTGTCCCAGAAACCAAAACTACCGGTATTTCTTAAGTCAAACCTGGTTTGTGACAGTCATCAAATCCTTGGATACAAAAAGAGGGGCCAATCATCACCAAGCAACTACAGACCAGTTTCCCTCACGTGGGTAGCCTGCAAATTACTGGAACATATCTTTAATCACTTGTGTGAAACCCAACTCATAAACACCATGGAAGAAATCCATCGACACCTCCCAGCAGGCACCAAACGTCA